CGACGAGTGCCTGCGCAAGTACGGCTCGGTCACCGTGTGGCGCTACTGCACCGAGATCTTCGACTACCTGAGCCTGTCGGCCATCATCGATGGGAAGGTGAGCTCACCTGGGCACACCTGGGCACACCTGGGATACGCCTGGGTACAGCTGGAGGGGATTGGGATACACCTGGAGGCGCCTGGGGGCACCTGGGATACCCCTGGACACACCTGGGGATACCTGGGATACACCTGGGATACACCTGGGGGCACCTGGGGGTACCTGAGGGGGATTGGGATACACCTGGGATACACCTGGACACACGTGGTGGGGGTTGGGATACACCTGGAGGCACTTGGGGACACCTGGGGTACACCTTGAGGCACCTGGGGACACCTGGCGTACACCTGGAGGCACCTGGTGGCACCTGGGACACACCTGGGCACACCTGGGCACACCTGGGGACACCTGGGATACACCTGGATGTACCTGGGGGCACCTGGGATACATCTAGAAGGCATTGGGCTACACGTGGGATACACCTGGGGGTACCTGGGGGCACCTGGGATACACCTGGAGGGGATTGGGATACACGTGGACACACCTGGGATACACCTGGGGACACCTGGGATACACCTGGGTACAGCTGGGACACACCTGGGACACACCTGGGTACAGCTGGGGACACCTGGGGACACCTGGGATACACCTGGGCACACCTGGGGACACCTGGGGACACCTGGGATACACCTGGGGACACCTGGGATACACCTGGGCACACCTGGGGGGCATTGGGGTACACCTGGGGACACCTGGGGCAGGTGGGGGGGGTGGGACACCAATGTCCCCAAATGTCCTAAAGTCCAAATTCCCCCAAATTTCACCCAAAATCCTCAAATTTCACCCAAATTTCACCCAAAATCCCCCAAATTTTTCCAAATTTTTCCAAATTTCCCAAATTCCACCCAAATTTTCCCAAATTTTCAGATTTTCTGTGTCCACGGGGGCCTCAAAAACACCAAAAATCCCCCAAAATGCCCCAAAAATCCCCCAAATTTCACCCAAATTTC